CGATAGTGGAAGGGCAGTGTTGGAAGAGTATACGTCCCTCAGCTGAGTTCGGGTAGAAGTGTATGGAAATCAACAAGATTTTTTTCTCGAAATCTTCCTAATATGAAATACGTGTTGTCAACAACACAAGTAATGACCATGCGCATATTTTCCCACACCGTTTTTGAGGGACTCGCATTCTAGACCTATCAATTTGATTTGTTGAGTTCAACTGGGTACTTATTCGTCACTACGTCGAGCATGACGTCGAGGTAAGGATCGAAGACTATGTACAGGAATCTCCGAAAAAGGCCGCAGTACTGTTGTTGGAGGGAAACTGACTTACAGATTTCCAAAACCCCCCATCCTCGCGAGAAGAGTGAGTCTTCGAAGTACCTACATAATGAGACTACAAGAAAAAAGGAAGGGTCATAGTTATGACCAGTAGGTATACATGATTTTCATATTCACATTTCGCATGACTCATTGTGTCACAGGGACATGTTGCAACACCAAAGCATAGTAGAGGTTGTCAGATAGTTCTTTGTATGAGAAGTTGTATCCAGTGGTGTTAAGGCATCATCAAGGAGTCGGTTCTTCCTAGCATACTGTTGCATTATATGTTCGCTTTCCTCAGCCTCCCTCGCTTATTATACAAGTTTACACACGATTAAGGGTACAGAAACCAACGAGAATTTCCCTAAAATTCCTTACAATTTTTGTAGTTCACCACGTACATATCATCCCATACTGTCGTGGCCTACCCTTTAGCCGCAGCTGAGTCGTCCTCAACGCCCCTCTCGTAATGCACGCCGTTTGCAATATCACTGTTGTTGGTTTTACCTGAGTAAAATGATCGTAGTAGAAGACCGAATAAGAGGAGACGTACTAGAGAGGTACACAGATAAGGAATGGGTATCGAAGGGCTTTACTTCCTGAGATAAGCCAACATGTGATAGTAGCAGGAGACAATGGGCGGGAAAGAGCAGTGATAGCATTTAAAAGTGTTAAAAACTGGAGGATTTCTTTGTGAACAGAGCATATACTGGAGTTTCACCCGGTTTACGTGAAGTGGTGGAAAACATGATATTTGCGCGCTATGCAGTAGTCGTGAAACATGTTTTTCACTAGTGTTTTTCATATCACTGGGAAGAAACTCCACTGTTACTCTCTGTGAGTTCGTTCATAGTATTTCTCGGCGACTACACCAGTTGAGCTCTCGAGACACATACCATTCGTAAGAGCGTAGTTTAAGTATCCTGTAAAAAATACGATATCACTTTCGTGTGTCTTTACTTACTTTATTTATATCGTGTGTCGGAACCGTTATATACGATTTCACTACGAATGCGCAAATGCTTCGCTCCGCTCTTGAGTGATTCCATTTTTCGCAATTTCGTCTGCGCAGTTTCTTCTTTCCCGTGAACGGCTAGAGCGGAATTCAAAACCATCGGTATCGCGGTTGCGGGGAGTGCTTTAAAGTGTTTAGTTTTGTTATGGCCAGGCCAGTGGCAGCAACTGGTGGCCCTAGTGGGAACAGTGTAATACTACAACGCCCTGAAGGTATTGAGAAATAGTAATTCTCCTCCTCCTTGTTTGTAGGTGTTATGCTGGGTAGTGTTCGCATCCACGGTGGCGGCCTTGCTAGTTATTGATGCCTTTATCATCAATAGAGGTGGGGACTATGTATTCTTATCGCTGGCTGAGTTCATTTCAATGATTTTCTCGTTTTCTACTGTCGGACAGTGTGGGAAATTATGCACATGGTCGACTACATGTGGTGGGGAAATTATGAAATTTTGAGAAATTCTTGTCGATTTCTGTACACTCTGAACTCCTATAATTAGTGAGAAAACCTCAAGCGAACAAATTTCTCAAATTCTCCTCTTATTAGATCGGATCGCTTAGTAGCATAGTGATTCCAACGTCTCCAACTTGCGATTATCAATTGGTGTGGTATCGGCTTTATAGGTTCTAAAATAGTAGAGGTCCCTCCCCGAAGAGCTATGCTGTATTGTATTATGTACTTGATCAGTGGCCTTCTCTTCAACGTTGTCGTCTATGTGCTATATGGCTACAATTCTGAGGTAGACGCCGTCGAATCGTTGGAGACACTCCTCTCTATTTAGGCGGCATTCGGGTGGTTCAACGGGTATGTTCTCGAGTACATGCTAAGCATGGACAACGTGTTTTTCTTCCAGGTGATAATTATATCGGTGTAGGGGGAATATATGCACATGGTCAACTACATGTGTTGGTGACAAAATGAAAATCCAGAGGAAGTTCGTATTGTTTTCAGGACACTTCTATTCGAATCCGCGTGAAATTTCTATAGTAAGTGTGGAAACTCTTGATCTCAGCTGAGGGAAGCGAACATATATTTCATCTCTGATTTACACTCTCTAGCATTCTTAGTAGTAGCAGACAGGTTGTTCCATAGACCTCCATTGAGTTTCGAGAGCGTTCCTAGGATCAAGTTTCACGCCTGTGAAAGCCTAGCATGGGACTGCCCCTTGAACACGCCGAGAGAATCGCCAAGTAAATGAATTGGAGTAGGTAGATTCCTTGTGATACGAGAGGCATTAGTATGTTCATGTGATAACAAGTAGTTGTACATGAAATTGCATCAATACGCCTTCAGAATAGTCGATTTGTGACTATCATGCTGATGTTTAACACAAGGCCACAAGGGGACTTCTTAAAGGGGTTATGTGCTTAGTTGTGATTTCCAATTTCGGAATACATGTTCGCTTTCCTCAGCTGAGCTCGGGAGTTTTCTCACTCAGTATAGGAGTTTGTATACGAATTCGAGTAGAAGTGTACGAAACCGACAAGAATTTCTCAAAATTTCCTCATAGTTTTCATGTTGTCACCAACACATGTGGTTGACCATGTACATATTTTCTCACACTAGTGGTGACTATCAGAACTACTATCAGTGTGAAGGGACCTATTCAGCTCTGAGAGAAAATGCTCCCCAGAGTTTGCGAACAGTGGAGAAAATGTTCCTAATGTGATGATGGCATTTACATGGGAAACTGTTCGAAGAATGCGTTCCTAGTCCTACGTGGAAAATGAGTCTAGATGATTTCATTGGGTGTTGCCACGTTTTTTTTCACCAGGTGATTTTCAAATACTACCGCACACCGAAGTGCCAAGTAAACCGAGCCTTGTTCTATGGCATTGGTATGGCAGCTGCTCTAAGGTTACTATTCTTCTTCCTAGGTGTGCTAATTTATCTACCGTAACAATCGCAAATTCTCTCTTCAGGTACTACTTTCTTCAAGCTCATCTCATTCACCCGTTATATATTCGGATTGGTAAGCTGCCATGGAAGCTCGCTTTACTGATACGATAAATCCCTGAACGACGGTCGTTGTACAGATTGATCGAAATCTGGGGACAGTTTTGATGACTAACTCGAATATTGTATCGTTTTCCTAATGACCATAGAGCGATGGAGTTCTTTGAGCAGGTTCTCATATGGAGTGGGTATAAGACTGCTACGGACTCAGATGACCAGGAAGCGGGCGATCCAAACAATGCCTGTGCACAGTGTAATCTACTTGTCTCTATTTCGTTGGGAAATGCTGGGCAGGGAGCAAGTTTCTAAATTGAACAATTTGAATTAAATTGGTGGTGTTGTAATCTCGCTAGGAAGGAAATTCTCAAGGTTGAAAATGCCGAGTATTATTGTTGTCAGGTATAACTTCGAGACTTCGTCTGTTCAATGCATATTCCTCTGACGGAGCATTTGTCGTGAAAGTTCCTCGAGGAACGGTTGGACCACCGATAGGGTGTGATCAGTCGGAGCTAATTCATGGTAAGATGCGACCAGCGTTTATGTCACTTCGACAAAAGTATAGAGTTCCTCATCCTTTCCTAGTTTTCACTAACAACTGAATTTGGGATCTGTGAGGCCACAGCAGCAGAGTATAGTTATGACTATACTACGACTGTCGGACTCAGGAGCGTTGCTGTGTCTTTATGATACGCACACAAGAGAACGGTTACTTATGTAGCTCTTCCACAAGTATCACTACTAGCATTCTATTGATTTATATTTGTACACGATATACCTGATGGGAAAGTATATCGGCGTAATGCTACGGCGACGTCTGCCGGACGGAGCTCCTTAGTTGGTGTAGACATCACTACATCAAACGCAAAGTGAACGCTGAAGACGACACGTCGCTCAGGGACGGAGTAACTCTATACACAGAAACGCACCCAGATATGAGAAAGGAGTGGTATAATATCCAACACCATGAGGAGGGAGATTAGGCTCTTTCCTATCAGCCAACAATTTACGAAGGTGTACTTAGTGCGCAACGTTTACAGCCATGGACAAGCGGCCGGTTGCCCGAAGCATCGTTGTCATGACCCGTATCAAGTACAGTAGAGTTCTCTGATCACTTTGACGAGTCCGTGGATCTTGTATGATGTAGAGCATACACCCTTATTGATATCGCGAGTAGAAGAACAGATGGTATGGGTGCCATCGAACATCGCTCAGCAGCTGGGAAGCATTTGAGAGATAGTTGACGGAGAATTGAGGAATATCTTGAATGCTCGCAAAGGGGAAGATGTCCGCTGATCTTATCCACGTATGGCTATGTTACATCATTTTATAAACAGAATGTGTGTTATTAATGTCTGGATAGTAAACAGACTGTGTCAATGTTTTTCATACTACTTATTATCTTCTGATTTTATAGAATATTATATACAACAAGATAGGTTAGAAAAGCATGTATAGGAAAAGATACTAACATGCATTCATCCTCATACAGGGTGCTCTAAAAATGGCCTATCTTTCGTAGCGTATGTGAATCGGATACCGTTTTGAAGTCCTCTCCAATGGTAGTTGAATCAATTTCATACTCTCCATGCTCGACAAAGTTATGACCATTTAGAGAAAGCTGTATACAGGGAAAAGTTGTCTGATAATTTCGAGTGGTGGTTTTTTTTTTTCGAACACCCTGTATATCCGCTCAATATACTTAGTAATAAACAATCATCATCATTGCAGATACTATCCCTCGGAGCTCAGAGGAAGGTCCATCACAAGAGCCTCTAGTTTATAAGGCTACCCTTCTATCGATAGTGGTTATTGTTCTTGGTGTGGTAGATGTGATATTTGCTGTCGATTCAGTAACAGCTAAGATCTCTCAGTATGATGACATGTAACAGACATGAGCTCGCCTGAGTCCGATGTGAATATGTTCATAGGTTCATTAACTTCTCGTCCTCGATATTTGCTATGTTAACTCTGAGATCTTTGTACTTCCTGGTCGTCTATTTGGCTGACCTCTTTGTTTTCATGAAATATGGTAGGAGCCTCCCCCCCTTTGCCGATCGTGATATTCCTATCAGTTTGATGTTACTACCATACCTTTGATACGCACTAGTTATTATATTGAACTACGCTACTACTATTGAGATTTCTCTCAGGCATCGCGCTTATCCTAGTCTTGGTGGGTCTACAGCTCCTGTTCGGATCATACATCGACATATCTAATCGGCAAAGTTGTGGTATAATATCGTTGGTATTTTTTGCCTCGATATTCGCCAGCGTGGTGAGTTTACTTTTGTTTCTCTCGAAAACCGTCTCTTGAAAGCTGCCAAGCTGTTTGCATTACGTTTCCTGTTGTTGGAATATATGTTTGACTCCCTCAGCCGAGCTCAGAGGTTTCCTCGCTAAATCATGGGAATCACGTATTAGGGTAGAGGTATGCAAAAAACCGACGAAAATTTCCATGGAATTTTCATATTATCATCAACCTATGTAGTTGACCATGTGCATATACTCCCACACTGACGTTCTTGTGTACGCAAGTTGTTTTTGTGTAGGTTTACTCAAAATGCGCGGCCTCTTGTAGTCGTCGTGGTTCGATATTCGAACTTGAAGTCATTGGCAGTAGACACATAGGCGAACCAGATATCGAAATTGGAGCAGAGCATAGTGAGATTTGTATTATTTCATTCGGAGAGATTATTGCTCTTTTCAGCACCTCAAGAAGAGCCGTCTACCTCATCAAGCACAAAGGAGAGTCCTTTGGAATGATCCATACAGTGTGTGTATTCACTTCGCAACTGTTCCCTCAGCGAAATCACTTGTTGTATTATTCATACTCTAGCAATAGAGTCACCATTTCACCCTAATCCGACAGTGCGCATTTTTTCTCATGCAATTGTGTTTTGTGTTGTTAATCTCGCAGACTTGTGGCTGTTGTCAATACCTGTCGATGCACTATGGTCCGCAGTCCCCGAGCGAATCTAAGTCACAGCGTATTGATGATGTTTTACTCACACAACGTGAGAAATTTTCTCGCGGTTCATTGGCATGAGAGTTCGCTCTTCGTGGTAAACGAGACCATTTTCAGGGGAATGCGAGTCGCAGTCTGTGCTGCAAGCCTCGCCGGAGATTGACGATACCTCCCCTGCTGTATCAGTGGTACGAAAGCGGCTGAAACGCCTTCGAATTGACGAGGAGAAGAATTCAGAATCGAGGTGACGATCTCTCGAGTGTTGTGCAGCAGTCTTGTAACGTCGGTGATGTTCTCAGTAGAGACGGCGATCGAGTGAAGGTTCTTGCCGAGTGCGGTCGGCAGGAGAAGCGACGGTGTACAGATGTGAGTAGTGATACATCGAGCATTGGGAGCAGCCAGTGTGGGGACATATCTGATGATGGTGAGTATTGATATCATTGAGAATCTTGCACTACATCTTTTCCCGGGCAAGTTCAGAGAGAATGGCATGTTACAAGCAAATTTGACTCTGAAAACTCAAGTATGTTTTATGATCAAGATTAACAATATATTACAATTAAGATCTACAGTGAGAATCTATGTTAGACATTAGCATATCAAGTGACAATCAACAATACGCACTACGCATTCAAGCTTGACAATGCAACTCGACACTTTGAGATCTGGCATGAACTTTTTATCCATCTCCACACACTACATAATAACATGGCCATCGGATCAGGAGGTGCTCCACGTTAACTTCAAATGACATAAGCTTGACTTTCCGACCGATGATATCGGCTGGAATCAGTCTCAACCGTCGAGCTCACAGAACTTGGGTGTACGCAAGATCGTGAAGACACCAATCAGGTATCGTCTCCCCTCGACGATCTGACAACATTTCAATGGAGATGCGCTTGGACAGAGCTGATCATCATCGAAGGGAACAGTTGCAGCAGTTGTTGAAAGTGAGTTCAATGTTTGTAAGGAGGAGTTGAACATTCTCCTAACGCCTACTCTGTGTTGGATTAGATAAGTTAATGATTAGCGTCGTTCATATTCTATTTAGCTACACTTGTGCTGACACATTGTTCCCTTCGTCAGGAGCAGATGGCTAAGTATAGGGCTGATTATCGTTCCTTATCAGAGGGGAGCCAGATTGAGTGAGTACACTCATTCGCCGCCTAGTACGAGTATGCCTCTCCCTCAGTTTCTGCTGTCAGCGTGATGGTCCCTAGACGGTTCGTCCCACAGTCCAGTTCGTACAGTATGCTTCTATTTATGCCTTACTTTGCGTTATCAATTGCTTCCCTCTCACTATCGCTTCAGTTGAATCTTGTCTATTTACATCCATGCATAGCTCGAAAACCATAAATGGTAGAACATCCTCCCAATAACAATGATAAGGCAATTCTCCTGTGTCTTAGATCCCCGCCTTATCGTTCGATCTCGCTCAAGTCCAGTGCTTCAAGTGAGCGATGTCCGCCCCACTTACACTACAACATCGAGCGCTATAGCAGCTTTTGTGCCACGGCATTTGGAGGATAGAATCGGTATCATCACACTAGCATTGAGGGTGCATTGCAAGCTGGTCTGTACAGGTGCTTTCGCTTTGGCGAAGCATTGGCCGAGCATGGTCCTCCCAAGGAAAGACGCGCATGCCCCACAGAAGTTCCCTCTACCCTTCCACCCGAGCATAGGGTTCTTTTAACGCACTTCTGATTGTCTTTGCCCTTGCATGTTGTGGGGAAGCCAATCGAAATGAGCCACCATTGCCTTGCAAAATCATAAATATTGTCCCTCTGTTGGTTGTTATCATTTTCCGACTGTGTTGCGTTGTTGTGAAGTTGTCAACGCCTCGACGAGGAGCTTGGTATGCGTGATAGTGGGAACTGGCTGAGCATGATTATCGCAACTCGTGTTCAGCCATTGAAAGATGCAAGTAGTCCTTGGTAGTAGCATCATCGGAAGAACCTGTTGATCATACCATCTATCTGCCGGGACTCGGGCGTGCATTAGTTGCGAGCGGATCGTGGTGCTTGCCCTAGTATCTCGACTGAGGCACGGCTAGTCAGTGTCTGTCATGCGAACGATGGGAACTTCAATCGATCACGTTATGGTCTCGCAGCGTCCGACTTCATCGATCAGCGTCTCGAAGTACGAGTGTGTCTCTCCCCTATCTCGCCACATGAGCAATACTGAATTCTCGCGCCTAATCTCGGTGTCGTCGTCACGTACGTATGTGATATGCGCGTAGAGCTGGAATGGAGACAAGTTTTCCAAATTAGGAATCCTAATGCTCTAAGGTATTCCCTGAGATGACCTCTTATTGTCCTAGTTACACATTAAACCTAATAATAAATCTCACTGATGATAAAGATCAAATGAAATTCACTAAGAATGAGCGTTAACGCGCGTTGATATATATCTTCTGGCACTGTGCGCTGAGATATTCATGCAACGAATTTGGTTGGTTATGAATATAAACTTCATCACTTTGACCTGATCACATGTGATGACACCACAAGAGTCTTCCTGAAGACCATCATGTCTATAACTTCACGCAACATGCTCGATCGGTCCATGGGAAATTCGTAGAGGCATGCGACAGAAAATCAACGACCATACAACTAGAACTCCTCGTTAATTTGTTTGGCCTCGTGCCCAGGAATCGTGTTGCTCAATCGCCTCTTCAACTTGATGCTGGGCCTGCGAGCGCGACTACGCTGTGCTGAAGGCAGTTCTCTGCTGGAACGCCTCTGATGCTGGTCACTCGAGCTTCGCTCAGAATGCGTAGGCGTGACGGATCTCCGGCGGCTCCCAGGGTCCTGCCAGAGAGGTTAATTGATTGTTCACTGATATGCGTCGAGTTCATCCGCCACTCACTCTTGTGAATATTTGACTTGGGGCTTCTGCCATTATTGATGGGGGCTCTCGGTAAAGGGAATGCCCGTCCTCGTGATGTTTACGTCTCGTGAAAACACCCGCGGCGACATTTTCGAACTCTCTCGTCACGTGATATTTCAAACACTCCCATAAGTGTCTGAGCGTTGATGCATACTTCTCGGTCCATGGCAATGCAGAGTCGCTGAGACTCCCGAAAAGCACAACGGAGAGATCCTCTATAGCGCGTAAACGATGCAGAACCTAAGCTTGTACGATAGTGTTCATCGGCGATAACGAGATGAGTTCTGAGCCCCGTCTGATCCTATGGGAGGTGCCATACTTCCTCCACCCAGTGTGAACACTCAGTGATGGCGGATAACTCCCTAATTTCGGCTTCGGCCAGACGTACCATCACCTGGCCGAGGCAATCAGGTGAAAGAAACCAGAGTATTGTCATAGTCGCGACGTATACCTCGAAGCAAGCATCTACTCTCCCTGAGGCTAGATGCTCTCCCGCAACGGAACTCAGGGCTTCTCTTGGCATGTGTCGATCAAACCAATCGATCGTTGGAGTGAACCTTCACATTTGAAAAATTTCCGAAACATAACTTGTGGTAAACGGATTTGATACTCTTTATTGTTGAATCGGTCGAGAGCTTGGCGCCATGTTTCACGAGAGATCGTCGCAGCGGCAAGCTGGCGCAGATTCTGGGAGGGAAACTCGCGGAAAGTACAATACGGCTCATCGAGACTCACAAACAGCAGTTTCTCGGACACAGTGAGGATTACGGTCCTTTGGCCACATAAAAATGGCGAAGTAGAAGCACCTGGAGGATGACGGGTTCACGCTGAATTTTAAATAATATTAGAATATGGTGCGCTCGGTCGAGTTATTCTGCAGCAGAATTTCTGCTTAGTAACAGCGACTGCGTCGGGCAATGGTCGTCTTCTATCTCACATAACAATTCATTAACAACTCCTCGTGCTATTTGTTCCGATGGGAATAGGGAGACTTGATTGGGGAGATCCATGCTACTCGCGAACAATTGTAAACTGTGGTGCTTCTCAATGACGTCAACGACGACCAGTAAACACTCCCCCAAGAAGTTCAATTATGACTGTCAAAACGGAGCACACAGGTCTGGAATCACAGCAGCAACCGATTTTTTAGAGTGTTGCCATGACTTGTTTACGGTCCACAACACAGGCTGATAGCTGCATTAGGCGGGTGGACCGAGAATGGTAGCTTTGCTGAAGGATTCGGCTTGCCTTCGAGAGCCTCGATCCTCTAACAATTCTCAGTGCCAGGCTCCACATGAGTTGCCTAACGAACGTATGCGGGCATGTTGAGAAGACTTCAAAATAGTGACTCACTGAGTAAAGTGACCGAGCATTGTGATATTGAATCCGGCGAAGGCATCTAT